CAAATGCAGAATAAAGAAGATAAATGATAAACTTTCGCTGTTCTTTTTTTGCGTTTCTTTTACTAACCTTGCATGCCTGTATTTTAGCTGTAGCTATGCATTAAATTGTATAACTTACGATAAGATTAATGTTATATGAATGTACTGTCTTATCCCCGTTGCCTCATTATTTTGTTAGGCCATTAGCACACCACAGAAAAAACTCAAGGCGCATTAACTTACTTCTTTACACAATAATCTTCGCCATTTAAATTTGTTTGTTTGTAGTTAGATATAAAGCTACACAATGGGCTATCCGTGCTCTGCCCTTCACTGGTATCTAAACCCGGTTTCTAGAGTTATAAGTCCGCAGACATACCACTGTACCACTGGGGGCGCCCTTGGTTTTTGTAAGTCTTATTACCATTGATATAATTTGAAATATCTCAGATTTTATCCATAATAATAGTTATTTTTGTTTTTAAGACCAATTATCCCATGTTGTTTTAAATGTGCAGCTTCCCCACCAACTTTGACTTAAATCTCCCTTCTTGGAGTTTCTACTTTACTGTAAAGTTTAAAATTAAACGTTTCAACGTCGAAACTTTATGCATGTAATTTTGTTAAAATGTTTTAACAAATTTCGGTGTTTATCAACTATGTCTTTGTGTTTAGGTTAAAGCGACGTTAAGCCTTATGGACTCCTCTTTAGCGCAATTTTTATGTTCGATAAGCTTATGCTCTCTTGTGTCTCAGCGATAAGTCTGAAGACTTGTAACGCTAAAAACCGGGTTTTAATACCCGAGGTGGGTACAGTACAGATAACTCATTGTATAGCTTTGCGCTTAATAACAAACAAACAAACGATAATCTTACACTATAAATGATATCAATTTTTCGAATTCTTCGCTTCCTATGACTCAGCAGAAAGTATATGGGCTTTTAACGTTAAAAAATGGGTTTCGATATTCACGATGAGCACAGCATAGATAGCCCATTGTGTAGCTTTGTGCTTGATAGCAAACAAATCATTTGTTTTCTAACATTTAATTGAACGTTATAGCAATATGGTTGCCCACAACTTTTAATTTTTGCTACCAGGTTCGGTCATCTGAGCCAGTGATTTTTTTATTTGTTCTGTTTTTTGTTCAAACTCAAAACTACGTGCCTCCTGGTGGTTCAGCTGTAAACCAGAGGGCTTATAACACTAACATTTGGTTTTCGATAGACAAAGCACAGATAGTCCATTGTGTAGTTTTTGCGCTTAACAACAAACAGTCAAAGCTGCACAATTGACTATCTGTACGGGGCACATTATAGGGATCGAACATCGAATCTTAGTCTTTAAAACAACAACGGTCAAACTCAATGATGTTAATGTTGTTTTGTTTATATTTAGAATCATTCGAAGGACTTGTGATTGAATAATTAGCAATTTATAAATAGCAAGAAAAAACACAGTGGATCATCTGTTAACGTTAATTGTTCCCGGATGTTTTGTGATAGACAAACATGATTCCATCCTCATAGTGAATGAGGAGTGCGTTATTCGTTTCAACTAAATCTCTTCAGGTAAAACGTTTCGTGCAATAATAATATTTTATCTTGATTTCAATATAAAAAAACAAATTATTTTTCATCAGTATAATTCCATTGAACCTTTTGGATGCAATATTAAAAGTTGTCTGAGGGTGATTAATGATGCCTAGGTCGAAAGATGTCTTCTGTATATTTCCGGTCATTTTAATTTTACGCTTGAGATTGGTCTTTATGATAAATATAATAAAGCCTGTTTTTATAGTTTCTTGCAATCTATTTTGCAGTCGAAAGTTAAGTGAAATGAGATTATTAATTATAAACACGTTATTCTCCACAGGGCAGAATCAGTATAAAACATAACTTGTGTTGTAGTACCATTTGATATAATGTTCTTCTTCTTTTTGTCTTTTTTGCTTGATTAATGAGCGGATATATTTTGGTTGAGAATAAGATAAATCCCAGTTTTGACTACACCTCGTTAAGTGCATGCGTTCAAACTATTTCACTAACTAATCTAACTTTAACATTTGTTCACTAAACTGGAAAAATAAACAACAGGAAAGATCGGAAGACTTGACAGGTTCAGTAAAATTGAGAAATGACAAAAGTTTTTGAAGATCGAATAATTTGATAGGTTTAGTAAAATTGAGAAATGAAAAAAAGTTTTTTTAAGATCAGATAATTTGAATTGTTCAGTAAAATTATGAAATGAAAAAAAGGTGTTTGAAGATCGGATGATTTGATAGGTTCAGTAAAATTATGAAATGGGTATATTTAGTAGTTGTGGGAAGTGATCTAGGGTAATTCTTATTTACAGGTATGTTTAGTAATTGTGGGAAGTGATCTTGGATAATTCTTATCTATAGGTATATTTAGTTGTGTGATCTAGGGTAATTCTTATTTACAGGTACATTTAATAATTACGGAAAGTGATCTAAGGTAATTCTTATTTACGGATATATTTAGTACTTGTGGGAAGTAGTCTAGGGTAATCTTTATTTACAGGTATATTTGATAATTGTGGAAAGTAATCTAGGGTAATTCTTATTTACAGGTACATTTAATAATTACGGAAAGTGATCTAAGGTAATTCTTATTTACGGATATATTTAATAATTGTGGAAAGTAATCTAGGGTAATTCTTATTTACCGGTGTATTTTGTAATTGTGGAAAGTGATCTAGGGTAATCTTTATTTACAGGTATATTTAATAATTGTGGAAAGTGATCTAGGGTAATTGTCACCTCCGTTGCCTGACAACCATATTCACAGCAAGCAGTGTTGTTCAATATTGTCACTTCCGCTGCCTGACAATCATATTTACAGTAAATAGTGTTGCTCAATATTGTCACCTTCGCTGCCTAACAAACATATTTACAGTAAGTAGTGTTGCTCAATATTGCCACCTCCGCTGCCTGAAAACCTTATTTACAGTAAGTAGTGTTGTTCAATATTGCCACCTCCGCTGCCTGAAAACCATATTTCAGTAAGTAGTGTTACGCGATATTTTCACCTCCGCTGCTTGACAACCATATCTACAGAAAAGAGTGTTACTTTAAAAATTTCAGACAGTAATATTAGAATTACTTAATCGGATTCTGTACTATTGGTGTACGTACTTCCTTTTATAACTATATTTTTCTATAAAGAAGGAAGAATGTGAAAAATATTCGAAACTAATTTCTTTGTTATTACACGGCATCCCAACAGGGAGACTTTATGAAAATTAACGTATACTTAAGCCTAACTGTTTATATTTCTGTTTTATTGTTATTGCTTCTATGTAAAAAATGATTTATACTGGTATTCTGGTACACGTGAT